TTTATTTATACAGAATTCAGTAAGTAGGGGTGCATTCATGTTGTTCCAAAACATAGAGCGTATCATTTTTGGTTTTGGACATGTGTTTAACATTGTCTCTTATTCATCTTTTAGTCATCATTAATAAACTATGACAACAGAGTTATCATTTCTAATCTTTTTCCCTTAAGTTTTGACATCATTGATACACAGTTATCTTTCATAACCACTCTTACTCATCAGCCCTATAACCCAATTTTTAAGAATCCAGAGGCATATGTCAGCTTATTCTCGGGCTTGTAGCTTTTGTGGGTACAAGGGCACTAGACCAAAACAATCTTCAAGCCATCCTGGGCATACTGCCACGTTCCAAGCAGTATATTATTAACTCTTAATGGTCAGAGTCCCTAGGAAATACCCTCAGGCCAACATTGCTACAGCAGTCATTCAAATTCTGTCATAGTACAGTGTTTACATTTATATTTTTATACATTTAGTCTATATGTCTAATCCTGGCATTCTATGGTTGTTTCTTGGTCTTATGATACCATAGTGGCTCTGCGTATGCCAGCTTCTCTAAGAAGGGAGACCCTGACAGACTTATTCTTTTATCGTCTTTCTACTCCATTCTTTGTTCATGAGTAAAACTCTCTGTGCAGGGCAGAGGTAACTCAGCTAATCTGACTTTGTTGCTTACGTACCACGTAATCGCCTGAGTGTGTAGTGGGAAGAGGCTTGCAATCTGATCTGTGGCCAACTCCTCCAGCCCAATGAATCTTGTTGACATTTTTGTTTACTTTGTTTGAATGTCTTGTTCCTGTGTTAGTACAGGGACACACGTTTCAAGAGTGTCTCATCACCTTATAAAGAGACACTTTATGTGTGTCACAGCCTCCAAGGCACAAGACCTTCAAGTAGATAAGGACATCTCCCTAAAGCAGGGGGCGTGGTGTGTTCAGGACTGTCCTGGGGCATCTTAGAAGCAATCTCCTAGAGAAGGCATAACTGATTCATAAGGAATTTCCCATCAATCCAGTATCCCTAAATTGTACAAATATTAAAAGTCTGCAAGTATGCGGCAGGTGGAGATGAAAACCAAAGGTGGCAGACATCACGTGACTAGCCAAGCAACACCAACACCCTCATCAGGCAGGCAGCTCTCCAAACACCCTTAACTCCAGCTCCGAGGGAAGCCAACACCGCGCGCGCGCACACACGCGCGTGCACACACACACACACACACACACACACACACACACAGAGCGTGGACGTGGCAGCCCCAGCCTCACCTCTTCCCTGTCTTTAACAGAAATGCTCAAGGATAAAAACAAGCCTGTGACAGCCGCCCATGCCAAGGGCCCACGAGGCCGAAGGAAGAGGCATGGAGAGGTGGAGGAGGCTGCTGAGCCCGGGCTGGAAGCATCTAGTTTGGAGACATGCAAGGACCTCCTGAGGGCCACACTGACTCACTGGGGTCCCGTTGTCTCCACCCCTGGCCCCACCCAGGAGTCTGTGGGCCAGGCTACCCCCGGGAGTAGGACACTGGGCTCTACGGATGCTGCTGTTTCCTTGGTGGCCAGCTGGGTGTTGCGGTCGTTGGCTGACAGCCCCCTCAGCAGGGCAGAGGCCACAAGACTCCTTGACTGGCTCAAGAGCCACATTTTGCCGCACCCAGTGGTGGTAGCAGACCTTCTCAGGGACAGTGCTGTGAAGAGCGGCATCTTGCGGCTCTATAGTCGCCACTGCGGTGCCCAGGGCCTGGTAGGGCCAGCACAGGACGTGGCCTGCAAGTTCAGCGCTGTCATGCTGCGGTTGTTGGAGGCCCAGGGCCTGGTAGATAGTCCTCTCCACCCAGTGGTGGAGGCCCTGCTCCTGGATTGCCTGGATGAGAAGGATGAAGCCAAGCGAGGTAATGTGGGCCCTTTGATCAGAACTAAAGAAAAATGGGGGGGGGGGGCGGTAGAATGTCTTCATCTTGGTACCCGGATGTTTAGCTGGATCCTCACCAAGACTGGAGTCACAGTGAACGTAACGAGAGGGCAAGTCTTCCTCCTTACAGACGATCATGCTTATGATGGCAGGCACCCACTCCCTTAGAACATAACGACCACACACATGTACCCATGTGAGCGCGCTCTCGTGCACACACACACACACACACACACACACACACACGTGCAGTTTCTGCTTGGTGCCCAGAGGCGTGGATGCAATAGTGAGGATGAGTGGCCTGCTCCGGCCTTGGTGGCTTTGAGGAGTTTCAGGTATCTCCTCCATTGGGGAGAACGGACACTTTAACAGCTAGGGAGCCAGGGAGAGGCCAGCAGGCTGTGCTGTGACCTCACTTGAGAGCAAAAGGGTCCTGTCACATCCTCACTACGGCAGCAGGAAGAGCCTTTGTGCCTGTAACCCTCACCTTTTCCTAAGTGTGCTCTTTGAGATGCTAAACGCCAGGTCAGTGATGGCCTGAGCATAAGGCCCCTGTCCAGAGTGGGACATGGAGTAACTTCTTTTTTAAGGTCAGTATATACTCATCACAAGAAAATGAACTTAAAAATGATCAGAGAGGAGGAGATTCACGTTTTATCCTCATGCTCACTGGGGCTTCCACGGGTTTTGGCAGTGTGTGTGGCATCTGCAGAAAGCCCTGGTGCATTGTGGGTGGTGGTTTGTTTTCCGTCTGAGCAAGTATACATCCTAATGGCCTTGTTAACTCTTCCCAGCTTCCACAGCATTCCTGGTGTCTCTGTACATTAAGGACATCTGGCTGGGGGCCCAGCAGCCAGACACCTTCCTTGCTCATGTCAGAATGGTCTGTGAGGCTGCAAAGGATGGGCCTTGTGATGAGGCGGAGGACATCGTTGTGCTCTGCAGGAGCATCAGCTCAGATGCTTGACTCGCCCTGCTGACCAGCGCTCCAGCGGGTTCCAGAAAGCTTAGGCCAAGGTTCCCAGAGGTGTGGGCTGATACATTCAAATGTTTGCCAGCAAGAAAGGTTAAGAGGACTTATTCACTGACCAACAGGAGGCGCAGGTACTGCTGGGCCATGAGGCCCACGGAGGTTTCGTTCGGATAGCTGCTCTCGTCCCAGAGCTCCTGGCAGAGCAAGCTCCCTGATTGATGCTCGTAAGTACATGGATTCAAGCTGAAATGTGAACATTGAATGTTTGGCTGCACATGCCCAGTGTTTAAGTTGTCTCTGTGAGAAGTTGGGTATTTTCTGTGAGGGAATGAGCAAGTTCCTGCCTGAGTTTGCTCTTTTATTTAATATGTTGTACTTTGCCCCTGAGGCAAAATGCCTTCATCTCTACTTTGGGAAGACACTATGTTTTTAAATTATATTTCAAAGAGCATTTTGAGTTTTACAATGTTTTGATAATAAATAGCTATTTTTGTGAGCCTCTTTGTACTTTGCTTTCATTTTACAAAGTGTTCTTATTTCAGAGACCTGCGTTTTATGTCAGAGTGTAACTTGTATGGTTCATTGTTATTAGGTGTTGTCCCTGGTAGAGGTATATGAAATGTCATGATTTTGCAGAAAAGGTGCTCTATACACTGGTCCCTTGTGTTTGAGCTGTCATCTGTGAGCTGGTGATTTAGTTTATTATGTGTGCTGTATGTAGTACTGAGAATGGCTGGTTTCGACTTAAAACGTTTGCACTTTTGTGTGCATCCGTGTGCTGTCCTGTTACTCAGACGAGAGCCCAGGACGCTGAGGTGGAAAATGCCCTTAGCTTGGGTCTGTTGGCCCTGTCCCGCTAATGAGTACCTCTGACTGTCATACAGAGGGACAGTGGCCAGAAAGACAGGATCTGGAGCATGTCCCTGTAGCCCAGGCCACTGAAAGCAAAGGAGTGGACCACCGGACCCCAACAAGTTTCCACAGGCTCTCACAAGCGCCAGTCCTCAACTGTCCCCTATGTTCATGTGTCCCGGTGACTTGGTGAGGTTTGATTGCTCGCATTCAGACTGATAGCACCAGCCTTGACCCTGGGTGGGGCTTGGTGAGAGGTCGTGGGTTATGCTCCCTCCTTCCCCCTCCTGGCTGTGTGTGTGTGTGGCGGTTTTAGTAGAGACGAGGGACATGGATGCTGCCTCGGGTCCAGCAGTGACTACAGAGCCGCATGAGCTCAGGAGCTCGCCTTCCCTCCTCTCCATCTTCTTGTTTACCTTGACCCCCTCCCCAAGGCTGGCGAGACCATGCCTGGCCCTCACCCTGTGGAGAGTGGATCCTGCGTGGTCTTCTGCACCAGGCATGGAGTTATACACCCACCTTCTAGACCCACAGCGCACATCTGTGATACTGAACGGATGGCCTCTGTGCTGACGTGTGGAGGTTCTCCTTGTTCCGAAGGCAGTGCCACCACAGCACACCTCACTTGCACCGGAAGGAGGGCATCTAGAGATGGTCAGTGTTCCAGAAGTGATGCTCAGAGGTGGACCGTGCACACACGTGACATGTTTCACAGAAGGAGGTGGACCGTGCACACACGACACATTTCACAGGAAGAGGTAGACCGTATACACATGTTTTTCAGAGGGGTTTGCTCATCGTTATTTTGCCGTCACCTACCCCAGTCAGTACCAGGAGGCTGCCTCAGCATGAGCTCTGTGTGGAAAGGTAAAGCCATCCTTTAAGAATAAAGCCCACGAATCCCTGAGTGCACTAATGGGTGTACTGCCGGTTTTCCGGGCCCTGTGTTCTCTCTCTTCAACCAGGGCCGTCCCTCCCAGACACATAGTTGTTTGGGGCTCTCAGAGCCACAGTCCCGGAAAGCAGAGCCTAAAGTGAGAAGCTTGGAGAACTCAGCATTCTGGGACAGTGCTGGAGGCTGGCTGGCTCCCCTGGATTCAGGCCCTCCCTGCTTCTGTCAAGCCCCCTGGGTGCTGTGGGGAAGGGACAGTGTGACCCAGCTGAGCTGGCCTAGGAGGTCTGGGGCAGGCTTCGCCATACCCTCACAAGAGCGTGTGTACCAGGAGTGCTCCCGGCAGAAGTGGCAGAGGTAAAGCAAAGGGTACAATTCCTGTTTTATTCCCCATGAATCCCACAGCAAATGTAAGCAGTAAGCAGATTGAGCATGTTCAGCAGAATCAGCTATGTCTGCGGCAGCTTCTCCATCCTAGCCAGACTATCAGTCCTCCTCCCAGACTTGGTTTCAACCTGGCCAGTTTCTTGCTACATTGTAAATGGCTGTCCATGTTAGTTTGAGTGTTTCAGTTCATCGGTTCTGGATTCCACAGTTGAGAAGCTCTGTCTCCAGGTTCACCACTGCACCTTGCTGGTTCTGGAGGTCAGCTGGTGCCTTGGGAACCCCCATCCCAAGCCTGGTCCCAGGGGAGAGCCAGAGGTGCAGGGGGTGAGGCCGAGGGACTCTCCTGCTCTAACCATTGGTCAGAGCCAGTCCTACTGCCTGGCCCCTCCGTTGTCTGCCGGGAGGTCCTCCGGAGGCAGGGGGGGAGCCTGAGGTTCCGTGGGCATTGGTGGGGCTGGGTGCTGTGTCTGTGGACAGAGCAAACGAGGCAAACATCAAAGGGACTGGCTAGAGAATAGTTCTTCGCTGGAGGGCCCCCCTGCTCCGTGTGCCTGTGCCCGTGGGGAAGACAGCTTTGTTGGGAACCAGGCCTTGAGCCCTCCCTTGAGTGCATATTCTCACTTCTGTATTCATCTCTTCTTCTCACACACGGGCCTACCGGCCTTTTATCCAGACGCAGCTGAGTCAGCGCATTCCATGACCACACTGTGTCTTGTGGGTTTCCAGGCCCTAGGGCTGCCTGGCATAGACCATGGCCACTGCTTGCCACCTGCATTGGATTTTATTCACAAAATGGGGTGACCCTGCCTCATAAGGGGCATCAGGGTGAGCATGGGCTGGGGACTAGCTAGGCTGGAGAACCATTCTCCGTGTGGCTACAAAATGACAATGGACAGGGCCCACTGGGGGCCGAAGCCCATCAGATGCCACACCTCTGTTTCCTGTCCACCCCCTGATCTCTGTGGGAGCGGGGAGGGTCCTCACACAGTGCCTCGGGGGTTCTTTAAAAAAGGAAATTGTGTTTGTGTGTGTGAGTGTGTGCACGTGTGTGTCAGTGTGTGCCACCCAAAGAGACCACAAGAGGGCGTGGGATCCCTGCAGCTGGGTATCGCAGTGAGACCGCCCACCGTGAGTGCTGGGAACGCTATAACTCCAAGAAGCGGGTCACCGGGCTGTCTCACTGCGAATGAACACCACAGGCTGTACCCAGACTAGAGCCACTACTGCATGTGTAGACTGTCATGTGTAGACCATGCCATGGTCAGCATGGATGGTTAGCATGAGTGGTTAGCATGGATGGTTAGCATGGATAGTTAACATGGATGGTTAGCATGAGTAGTTAGCATGGATGGTTAGCATGAGTGGGTAGCATGAGTAGTTAGCATGGATGGTTAGCATGAGAGGTTAGCATGGATAGTTAGCATGAGAGGTTAGCATGGATAGTTAGCATGGATGATGGTTAGCATGAGTGGTTAGCATGGGTGGTTAGCATGGATGGTTAGCATGAGTGGTTAGCATGAGTGGGTAGCATGGATGGTTAGCATGGATGGTTAGCATGAGTGGGTAGCATGAGTGGGTAGCATGGATGGTTAGCATGAGAGGTTAGCATGAGAGGTTAGCATGGATAGTTAGCATGGATGATGGTTAGCATGGGTGGTTAGCATGGGTGGTTAGCATGGATGGTTAGCATGAGAGGTTAGCATGAGAGGTTAGCATGGATAGTTAGCATGGATGATGGTTAGCATGAGTGGTTAGCATGGGTGGTTAGCATGGATGGTTAGCATGAGTGGTTAGCATGAGTGGGTAGCATGGATGGTTAGCATGGATGGTTAGCATGAGTGGTTAGCATGAGTGGTTAGCATGGGTGGTTAGCATGAGAGGTTACCATAGATGGTTAGCATGGATGGTTAGCATGAGAAGTTAGCATGAGTGGGTAGCATGGATGGTTAGCATGGGTGGTTACCATGGATGGTTAGCATGGATGGTTAGCATGGTTAACATGTATGGTTAGCATGGATGGTTAGCATGAGAGGTTACCATGGATGGTTAGCATGGGTGGTTAGCATGGGTGGTTAGCATGGATGGTTAGCATGGGTGGTTAGCATGGGTGGTTAGCATGAGTGGTTAGCATGGGTGGGCGCTGTCCTAGGCTGCAGACAGGCTGTCCTATGCTATTGCCGTTTAATGTCTGCTTTCGTGCAGACACGCACCCCCTCTTACCTCATCTGCGGGGAGCCTGACCAGGACATGTAGAGCAGGATGAGGAAGAGAAGCACCACGAAAGTTACCAGGCTCACCCAAAAGGCAATGACGATGGAATCTGTGGGAAGGAACGGAGTCAGCTGTGCCAGCGAGTCAGCACAACGGTCCTCGGCAAGAAGTCAGGAGGCCAGGCGTTACCCAGCCAGGGCCTCTGAGCTGGTGTCTCTTCCAGCTGTTGACTGGGAAGGAAGTGTGTGAGAGATACAAGTTGGTGGCAAATTAAACAGACTCTTGGGGCTGCCCACGAGTTTTCTTCAGCGATACTGAATCCTGAGTAGTGATTTTATGACTTTTTTTCTCATTGTGCACAGCTCTGTGTGTCTAGACCTCTCCCAGCCTTGGTGACAGGCTCCAGTAGGGCCAGCTTGGGTGGGGGAACATAGGACCATTGGGTCCTGTTGGGGGTCAAGTCTGTTACCCCTGTGGGGGAGTGGGCTGGGGTCAGGGGGTGGACTGTTGTAGCCATCACCATGGCTGTATGTGTGCCCGTGGACAGGCGGAAACCAGGAAACATGCTTAGGGTCTTCCGTCTCTATGCAGAACCCGGTAGGGCGGAGGGTTTGTGGCTGTCAGTGCCATTTGACAGGGGGCCGGGAACTGTCACACTATGGGGGTTTTGGGGTGGTACCCATGGCTATGAGAACAGCAGGGTAATTTCAGGACAAGATGTCCAAGTTGGGAGAGCCTATACACCCCTCACTGCAGACTATCGAAGGGAGTGTGGTAGCTTGAAAGGAAATGGTCCCATAGGCTCACAGGGAATAGCACTATCAGGAGGTGTGGCCTTGCGGGGAGGGAGTGTGGCGCTGGGGGGGTGGGCTTCGAGGTTTCATCTGCTCAAGCCAGGCCCAGTGTCGCTCTCTCAGATGTGGGACTCCCAGCTCCCTCTCCAGCACCACATCTGCCTGCACGCCGCCATGTTCCTCCATGATGGTAATGGACTGAACCTCTGGCACTGTAAGCCAACCCCAATGAAATGTTTCCATGAGAGTTGCTGTGGTCACGGTGTCTCTTCACAGCAATGGAGACCCTCACTAAGACAGTCTGTATCCCAGCAAGTACTTACTAAGCACACTGGCCCTGCCGCGCAGCCTCCCGTTGGCATGAACCGGATAGCTCGCACAAAGGAGGGGGCCCATGTGTCATATCAAAACAAAAGAGATTTGTGAATGTTACACGAAAAGAAACGAGCCATCATCCAAAGAAATGATTGTAGTGTGAGGGATGTGTGCGTCATCTGAATGGAGCTGGGAGTAGGTCTCTGGCTCCCCCCCACCCCACCCCCAGGGTACCAAAATGCTCAGATGCTCATGTCCATTATGGAAGCCCACACTGTATGTGCACAATAGTGCGGGAGACTGCCACAACTTTAAATCACCTTCAGGTGACTCTGGAGACCCGGGTCAACAGGACAAGACAAAGGTACGTTTACTTTTAGTACATACCCGATCCTTCCCCAGATAATTTCAGTCTGTGGAGATATAACTCTGGCTATATTTGAAAAGTGTCATCTCTGCTTTCCTATGTCCCAGACAGGAAAAAACAAACAAGACTTGCAGAAGTGGACCGTGGCCCCCTAACAGTTAATGAGACTTAGGACAGTGGCAGAAACTCAGCTGGTGAAGAGTCTACTGCTTAAGCATGATGACCGAGGTCAGGACCCCGCCATGCATGGGAAAGCCAGGTACTCATCTGTAACCCTGTTGCTGGGGACCTGGGGTTAGCGGGTGAAGACGTATCCTCAGAGGTCATTGGCCAGGCCAGTTGATGAGCTGCTGAGCTTCAGGGCCAGTGAGGCACCCTATCTCCATAAGTAAGGTGGGGAGCAATTGAGGAAAGACACCCAGCACTGAACTCTGGTTACACAGGTATATGCTCCCGACTGCATTACACACACACACACACACACACACACACACACACACACACACACACACAAGCCCCTGCCTTGTAATCTATGTCCTTTACAGCATTTGCACTCCAGGGAGGCAAGAACAACCAAGACCCAAACTAACTCTTGCATCTTTTGGCCCCAAAGCTAAAAAACGTTAAGCACTTTAAGGGGACCTCTGGGCTCCCGGGAAGTGGAAATTGGGGTCATTAGTGTGTGCCCTAAGCTGAAACATGTCAAGTCCAAAGGAAACTCCCAATTCCCCAGACCCCAAAAGGCACTCCAAATATCCAGAAATGAGTTCAACCTGGACTATGGAAGGATTTCTGGCAGTTAGATAAAAGCCAGCATTGTTTGGGAACTTGTGAAACTGTTCACCTCTACCAGAAGCAGTCATTTCCCTGACCGGCAGGAGGCACACGTGGCTGGCTGTGTTGCTCACGCTGGCCTCCAGTCTCCCTGGGCATCACAGGTACCTGTTACACATTTCACAGTTCATGCAGCCATGCAGATGCCCTAGCCTTCCCCCTCCTCCCCTCTATCCCTCCTCCCCTCCCCTAAACTCCCTCCAGCTCTGGCTGTGCGCACGTGTGTGTGTGTGTGTGTGTGTGTGTGTGTGTGTGTGTGTGCGTGCGTGCGTGTGTGCGTGCGTGCGTGTGTAAAGCCCCCAGGTTTTCTCAGCATGCCTCGATACATCCACAAACACCCAGAGAGCAACAGTTGATTTCATAATCTCCCAGGTATGAGCATATGACCTCTGAAATGTTTTAGTTTGCGATTTTCTTCCGGATGGGTAGTTTTGATTTCTGTGGACATCAGTGCTCCTTTTCCTCTTCATAAAATGAAAACTCTGCCAGGCAGTGGTGGTACACACCTTTCATCCCAGCACTCGGAGGCAGAGGCAGGCAGGTGGATCTCTAAGTTAGAGACCAGCCTGGTCTACAAGAGCTAGTTCCAGGATAGGCTCCAAAGCCACAGAGAAACCTTGTCTGTCTTAAAAAACCAAAAAGAAAAGAAAAGAAAAAAGAAAAATCTGAGGTCTGTAGGTCCTCCTAAGTTCAAAGGAAACCGCTTCGAGCACTGAGCAGACGACTGTCTGCCACAGCCCTGGTCATCATCCCTGACTCTGCGCAGGAAATGGGAGAGTCCCTTGCCTGGAACTCACTGCCTACAAAGAGGTGAAATTTAAGTTTTGTCAGACCAGAATGAGGATGCGTGGTCACTAGTCAATCTGTGCTAACTTCACTCCCGTGCCCCTTTGAAAAAGAAAGCTAAGAAAAATAGTCTCTTCCTCTTGTGCCGAAAGTTCATCTTGAGTGCTGGCTCACAGGGAACATTGTGTTCTAGAGGCAAGAGCCTTCATCCCGGTGCTGACAGATCCCACTCCCGCCCACAGGCCTGTTTCTACAAAGAACCCTGGCTCGTTCCTGGAGAAGCCCCAACTTCCTCTCCCTGCCTTCCTGCCCGCTCTTTTCTCCTCCTCTGATCTCCTGCTCCGACCTCAGAGCAGATGCTTCAGTGTAGAGCAAGGGCCAGGAAACTTCGGTTCCTGTCTGGGGTCCCCAACGTCCCGGGAGGCTGCTAGGAAACCGGCCTCAGTTTTTGTTGTCCTTTGGCTTATTTGCTTTTCTTTGTTGGGGAATATCAAAGTGGTGAAGAACGCATCAGAGTTGAGGGGTTTCGTTTGTATCTGTCCCCTTCTTGGATGCCAAGCTAAGAAGAAAACCAATTCTGTATTCCAACCTTACAAAGACAAATGAATTATTCTGATAAGATGGGCCTTCGAGGACTGGTTAGTGTTCTTATTCAGAGGGCAGTAAAATGGGTGGCCCTCCCTTGAGGACAAGTGGCGTCGGTGCTCTATCTACCTCTCGGGTCCACATGTCTCCTTTGCCTTAATTATGGGTTAGGGAGAATTTGTCATGGTACAAGTCAACTTCTGCTGATGCCCTGCCTCTGGCTTCAGTAATACTGCGTATTCACTCACCGCTCCAAGAGTTCAGGGAAGGAGAGCGGAGAAACCATTAATCAGTCTCTTCGGAAGGCAAGAGTACTTCAAATGCAAATTAACGTTGTGTCCATGTGTGTTAAGTGTGAAGGCACGCCGTGGAGGTCAGACGGCTGTTGGTCCTTGCCTTCTGCCTTATTTGACACAAGGTCCCATTGGTCCCGTGTACCCCAGGCTAGCTAGCCCGTGAGTATCCATGGATTTTCCTTTTCTCTGCACCCCCATTCTGCCCTTTGAGTTCTGGGCTCCCATACCCGGTTGGTGTGTGAGTTCTGGGGATCCAACCTCTGGTCCTTATGCTATCCACTTAAAACACTGAGCCACCTCCTCAGCTTGCAAATTAATATGTTCTTATCCACATTCATGTACTGTGTGTGTGTAGGTCAGAAAACAACCTGTAGGAGTCAGTCCCAGGAATTAAACTTAGGCCATCAGGCAAGGCCGAGCTCGGAGACTCTTAGATGATGGCCCAAGAACCCTCCCACCCAAAGCAGTGGAGCAGCGTCATAGAGCAGGTGGTGGCCACAAGCGACATCTAGGGGCATCTTCCGCCCTCAGAAAGTTAGAGCATCTGAAGGTCACTCAGCCTTGCATCTGAAAGGCAGACCTGCTTTTTGTCCAGATCAACCCATGTCCTCAGGTTCTGAACTTGTGACAATATTTACAAGTAGGTGTGTTTTTCAGCCCTACCACGGTCTCCCTCTGGTGACATGTCTTCCTCATTTTGAGTCACATGTGCAAAAACCTGCCCCGAACATCACGATTCCCTCCCTTGCATCAGACAACACACAGCAAACCTGTCCCCACAGGATGTTCTAGAACACTGTACTCAGGGGCTCTGCCTAGCCTGTGCTTATTGTCTGAGACACTAGCATTTATTTGTTTTGAGCTGATATGTAACCAGCGATCTCCCTCCCACATGGAAATCATTCCATCCCTTTGAGAAGTTCCACTTATAGTGTGGGGAATATCCACAGAGCCCGAGACTTCTTATGGAGTCGACAGGGGCAGGTCCCCTGTCAAGAGCACTGCTCCGGGACTGTGCCTTTCCGCTCATCGCCTGGGCTGTCTTTTGACCTTGACTGAATAGTTGGACTGATCAGGGAAGAACGTCCACAAACTGCCAAGTTGCTCAAGAGGTGAGTGAAGGCAGACGAGAAATGGATGTCAACGCATGCGTGTCCTCTGAGACTATGCTGAACAGCTGCTGGAAGTTTAGCAGAGATTACTACAAACATCTTAGAGGTAGCTGGGATACAGCCCCCAGTTCTAAAGAAACTCACCCAGCTTGCCGGAGCCCCGGACAAATGAAACTTCATTAGGAAATACACTTTCAAAAGAGAGCAGTGTACGGGCTGGGGTTCAATCCCCGGCAAAGCGAGGGTGAGAGGCAAAAGTGCATGCAAGTAACAGGAGCAGCTATCTGGGGAAAGGGAGGCCGGGGGAGGGAATCGGGGGTGAGGCAGGGTCATAGGGGGCTGAATATGATCACGGTCCATAGCTGGCCATGGTAATGCACTTGAGTGACTGAGGCAGGAGGATTTCTGTGAGTTTTAGCAAAGCCTGTGTATAGTGAGCACCAACCAAGCCAAAGCTATCCAATAAGACACCATCTCCAAGAAAGAAAACCAGACATTTACACTGTCTACATGCATGGAGACTGTTACAACAAAACCCATTTTCTTGCCCAGAGTTGGTGGCGCACGCCTTTAATCCCATCACTCGGGAGGCAGAGGCAGGAGGATCTCTGAGTTCGAGGCCAGCCTGGTCTCCAGAGCAAGTTCTAGGACAGGCTCCAAAGCTACCCAGAGAAACCCTATCTCGAAAAACCAAAAACCAAAAACAAACAAAACATTATCTTGTACAATTAATATATACTAATAAAATGAATGGAAAAATGAAGCATAAGTGTGTATGTGTGTGTGTGTGATGTGTGCACGTGGGAATTTGTCTTAACATTCTTCTGAAACTCACAAACTGCCAAGCCTGACAACTGGATTTCCATGTGAGGGACCCATGTGGTAGAGAAAGAACAGCTTCCTCAAGTCCTCTGACCTTCACAGATGCACTGCGGCCCCCATCCCTAAATACACATACGTGTGTCTTTAAAAGGAACCTTATGCTCAGTTTAGAGCAAGCTAGAGGGACAGTTTGTCCCATGCCTGATTCATGTCTGTCTGTGTGTGCGGTATGTCCCCGCTGGGGGGGAGGGGGTCTTCTGATGTTAGTAAGTGAAGGCAAGCAATGAGTGCCTCGTCTAGGGCCCAGCCTCTGCCTGGCTGCCCTCCCACGTTCTGACTTACGCTTGTGGGCTTTCAGCTTCTTCTCGTCCACAGGGATGAGGTCTAAATAATCCAGGTAGTATTCATAGCTGGTGTACGGGACAGAGGCGTTGGTCCTGTTGGCCATGGCTGTGGTTGCGGAGGCCAGTGTCTGCTCACACCCGGAGCTGGGCTGTGGGCCCCAGGGAGAACATTGCTTAACTCATTTCTGTCGGAATCACCCGGGCGACATGGGGCCCGCTTATCATAACTTTGCTGGAAGGTCAGGGGGCTGTTCCCATGTATGGCCTCTGGATCCTGCCTCTCCTGGAAAAGACTCCAAAGCAAGAAAAGCAGGCTGCTAGCAACACGGCTTCGCACTCAGCTCTAGCTTGCCTCTCCGTGGAGGGACTGGGAAGTGGGCGAGAAAATCAGATGCCAGAAGCAGCAAATGACTGGTACAGCAAGACAGAAGCCAACCCTTTTGCCTCTGATACATGAAAGGGTTAATAAAACTGCAGGAAACCCTGCCAGTGCCCTTGACTTATGTCAAGGCTGTTCTTGGTGCTATTAAGCAACCAGTAGACCTCTGGCTTGGATTCCGAAGGCAGACCCTGTGCTTGCAACCTCTGCCATGTGCACAAGCAGCTAACGAAAACGGAAAATCACGCTACTCAGCTGAACGGGCACCCCAGCGTTTACAGGAGCCAGCTGGGTGGTGGTCAGCTGCATTTGTTCAGACCGAGAGGCAGGTGTATCTGGGTCAACATCCCACAGGGCTGCACTCTTGGGAAATAAGGTACAGGTCTACATAGCTCTTAGCGGACACTAGGTGTCAGGAGAAATTCAGGCTTCCGTGGGGTCCGCCCCGAGTTATGTGCTCACTCCTTCACTTGATCTCTAGATACTACCACCCAAAATATGCAGGATACTGGAACGAACGGCTAGTTCGTGGTGCACCTTGGGATTTTGCCTTTGGGAGTTACGCACCCATCTGGGGTCTTTCTGTCTGTCCTACTTGTTTTCTAAGTGTTGACTCCTGTCTCCATTGCTGCAGTAGCAACAGAAGCACCCAGACAACTTGAGCCCTGCCAGTTCTGGTTCTGCTATGCCAAGGCAAGCATTCTGCTTGGGTTCTTGGAAGTCCTCAGTGGACTTGAAGGGGAGGAGGTTCTGCTTGGATTTCCAAAGCAAAGAGGCAACCATTCCCTGGAAGAACAAGGGGACTCATGTTTCCTCTGCTGCTTTGACCTCTCAGCAGAAGTGGTTTTCACACCAAGCAAGTCGCTGCCGTCTGCAGACAGTCTAACACTTGAGCTCAGTTCCAACAGTAACTGCCCAAGGTTGGCAGACCCCTCCGGTTATGGGCCCAGCTCCACAGTCACCTGTCTCTCCCTACTTCAGCTTTTTTCTTTTCCATCACTGAGCCTTTAATCAGATGAAAAACACATGAAACAACATGAGTCCAGAATTTGGAGTTTTTGAGGCAATTGAAGCCTATGCAATGTGGTCTTTTTCCAGGTTGTTGCTTTCTTTTTTTTTTTTTTTTTTTTTTTTTTTTTTTTAACTTTTTTAAAATTATTTTTTTTACATTCAGCTGTAATCCTAAGGCCCAGGTTGTCACCTCAGTTCTGAACCACTGGAGGTCACTGAGGGGTTAACAAGCCCCTCCCCTGCTTCCCAGGACTCTGGCTTATCATGAAAGACTACAACTCAAGTAGAGTCAGACAGAAGCTCTAACCACCAAACCACTGACAATCACTGATACGGTTCTTATTGCAGAGAGTCGTTTTTTTGCGAGGCAAAGATGGAGGACACAGGAGACCCAAGTCTCACTTCTGTAACCTGAGGATAGGGAACAGGGTCATTTGTGATATAAAGAAACAGGCTGGTCTGAGACTAGGGAAGAGGAGTGGAGGAATGGGAGGGGAGGAGGGGAGGGGTGGGAGGGGAGGGGTGGGAGGGGAGGAGGGGAGGGGTGGGAGGGGAGGAGGGGAGGGGAGGAGGGGAGGGGAGGGGAGGAGGGGACGAGGGGAGGAGGTGTGGAGATACTATGTAATTCATGTTCCCACAGTGGTGAGCCCTTGGATATGAGTTGTCCTTGTGACTTGTTTTGGCTTTGAGTAATTAATACGGCAACTAGGACCTTGTACTGACTTGGGATGTGACTCAATGACAGAGCACAATGCAGGTCATCTAGAAGGCCTTGGCTTCATTCAATCCCCAGCACTGAAAAAACAAAACACAACACGAAGACGTTGTGCAAGTTCCAGGCCAAGGTCTTAACACAGCAGTGCTTAGCCTTTGGGTCAAGATCCCTTGGGATCCTCAGATATTTACATCGTGATTCAAATCTAGCAAAATTACAGTTATAAAGTAGCAACAAAATACTTTTGTGGCTGGGGCTCACCAGAGCATGAGGAACTGTATTAAAGGGCTGTGCCATTAAGAAGGTTGAGAACCACTGTCTTAGAGGTCTGACTCGCTAGCCACAGGGGCTGAACTCCTGGGGAACCAGGGACACGTTTCACAGTCAAGAGCCAGGCTAACCCCAGCAGCATGAATGGTTGTTCTTTTGTGTCTGATTATGTCTCTCCTCTGTCTCTGTCTATCTCTGTCTCTCTCCTCTCCCTTCCCCTGCTGTGTGTGTGTGTGTGTGTGTGTGTGTGTGTGTGTGTAGGCCAGGAGATAATCAAATCATTCCTGAAGAGCCACCCCCTGGGTTTCCCCTAACCTGGAACTCACCATAGGCTCTGCTGGCTGGTCAGTGAGCCCCAGGGAGTCTATGTCTGCCTCCCCCGTAATGAGATTACAGGCATGCACCATCTGTCACACCTGGTTACTTTCTGACATGGGCTCTGGGACTTGAACTAAGGTCCTCATGTTTGCAAGGCAGGCAACAATGTCCCGGACCATGTCTGCAGCCCAAGTGGCTTTGATTTCTTACACAGCACGAGGTCACTGGTGAAATGTCCCTGTTCTGTTCCTTTACACCTTCCATTGTCTCAGTCCCTGGATTTTGATCTACTCTAGTAAGTTTTGCTGAATTTTTAATTCAATCCTATACTCACCCTTAGCATCTCTGGGTGCTTTGCAAAATATGTAAGACAAAGACCATGGTTTACCTATTGCCAGAATTTATTGATAATATCAGATTAAACATGTTCCATAAACATTTTAAAATGCTTTAAAAGGCTATAACTGTCAACCATTCTAAGTTGTCTGCATATAAAAATATTAAGCTAAAATCCCAATCAGGTAGGTTTTTTTGTGTATATATAATTGTGGAGTAGCACATACTAATGGGTCTCCAGGTAATAACTGCAAAATATAGACAAGATGTAACAAAACAACTATCCAGAGGCACCAGAGAGGGCCAGAGAGCCACAGAAACAAAGGGGAACAGCCCTGAGAGGAGGTATAGTGGGCGAGACTTGTATTTATAGATGTCTTTGCTGGGTGCATCCCACAGCCATCACGGCGTAAGCAAACAGAGTTTCATTGGTTTTAGGGGTGGAACTTGGTGTAGAAGAGTATCTAAATGGGCATGGGATAGAGGGTCCTCAGGGGTAATAGGCCATAGTTATCCCCTATCTGTTTATAATGTTCAAGGTATACATAGCTCAGTGCTAGAAACAGAACTTGCCTACCAATATTCCAGGCTCTATGTTCAGTCCTTTATTCCACAGGTAAAAATAATAATAATAATAATAATAATAGTAACTTTGGTCAAATCTTTGACTGAGGAAAAGAATCAAAATGCAACAGAAAATCTCCACCCCATCAGCAGCACAACTGTAGGAGAGCAAGACTGGCTGGCACGTAAAGATGGATATCAACTTAGTAGGTGAAAGTCTGAGGGAAACAATATTCGCCGAATCTAATAGGAAGCTCCAAATTGTTAGTTACGAATTTGAATACCAATACCAAACGATACTGTTTACACAGAGAAAAAGCAATCACAAGAAACCTCCAGGTGCCTCATCTCAAAGCACACACACACGAGCACTGAAGACCATGTTTGTCCCTTACAAGAGGACTGAGGGACACGCCACCTCTGGGGTGCTTGTTAAATGTGTGACCCCAGTACTTCTGGCTAGGACATTGGGAAAAGCTGAATCAAGGGCATCCAACACAATGGCTTCCTGGTCTCCTTCAGAGGGGTCCAAGCTGGGAAGGTGAGGGGTGCTAAAGAGATGGACGCCTCGCTGCACCATGGCATTCTGGGTTGGATCTTGGAAACATGGGTTCCTCATTCTTGAACGGCAAGCACGTTAGCGGTGGAGCCATTCCCCTGTCCTCTAAAGTGTGACATGGTACCAGCCATGTGTGTATGACCTGAAACCTTGTGGGTTTCCTTCTCCAGAATTCACCTAGGCCGTCGGACAACTTGACTCTTGGGGTGTACCGCCAAGATTTGGGGGTAAGGACTGGGGCTCAGGGTCCAAGGAGAGGTTCTCGGGAACTCTTGGACTTTCCTACCACTCATCAAGTTTACATAGTAAGTCTATGCACTGAATTTAGCAGGTCGGGGGAGGGGGGGATTTCACATCCTTGGGTGGGGATTTCAAACTGAGGAGTTGTAGATATTTACCTTTCCACCCTCTTGTTCTTCATTTTCAACTGAGCATAATATAATTAGGTCAGTTTGAGAATTTTGCTTCTGTCTAATGGATTACTGACGGTTAAAGTGAACTTATTGGTGTGACAATATTCTAGATTTAAAGAATGGGGGGGCACAATCAAACAACTCCTCTCACCTTTTGGCATTAGAGGAAACAATATCCCCATAAAGGTTGATGCTCTGAGAAAGCAATGCATACTTACATTAACAAGTGCCTCCAGGACCACAACTGCTAGTTGTTCCTTTCCAGTTAAAATGGTAACCAGGCTATGGATGGCGACACTGTTCTTTCTAGGTGTTTCTGTGGGCCAAGGGAGCAGCTTTCCTAGAAGGGGAAGGGTGTGCTCAATAGCTAACAGTCCAGGCTCTCATAAACCTCTGCCGGTCTCTCGGCTGTTGCTCGCGAACCCTGTGGGTCTCCCAGCTCCGTTGTATTGTGGATGGGGTTACTGAAAACCCCATGCTCTCCCTCCCTACTCGCTCTTAACTTTCTCCAGAACCAAGGCCTGGGAAATTGTGATTCCACTCATCAAATAGAAGAGAGAAGAAACACTATTTAAAGAACGTCCTGCCAAGCAGTGTGTTTGTTGTGCACGCATTTAATCCCAGCACTTGGGAGGTGGAGGCAGCACTTCGAGTTGGAGGCCAGCCTGGTCTACAGAGCGAACAGACCCCCCCTGCTGCAGCCCTCCAATGCTGTCTGGCTGTATTCTTAGCATCAGGGTTGGAGGCTAGGGATCTGTTTGTCATATCGAAGTATTTATGTAAGTCTCAAGGGTGTGGCCTTACACATGACCATGCAAGGAGACTAAAGATAACTCCAGATAACTGGACTCTGAACGTCACAGCATCCCCACCATCCCTCAGTTGGCCTGTGTGGTCTCTGCCTCTTTTCGGGGGTTTTCTGTCATAATTCCAAGATCCCTGGTGGAGGCAGGAAATAGCAGCCATTTCCAAACACTCTAGAACCCATGCTTTGCTGAACTTGGTGGGGTGGGAGGGGAAGAGAAGGAAAGAGAGCTCAGAAAGAGAAAGAAGAAAGTTCAAGAAGAAACGAATGGCTGAGGCCTTGACCGTTTGCTGGAAGAATTGTGCATTGATTTTTATTTACATTCATTTAAGGGGGACATGCAAAGGTTGGAGGTCAGAGGACAACCTGGAGTCGTCCTTTTTTTCCTGGGGGGGTCGAACGCTGAGCACCTTTAGCCTCTGAGTCGCCCCACCACCCCGAGTTACGGATGCTCACAAGTGCAGCTGAGGAAAATGAGAAATTAATAGCTGCTGATTACAATCAGACAGATTTTAATTGCATGCACTTCCTAACACATGCACGCCAGAATGACAATAAGATGTGATTGCAGGTCCCCAGAGGCAGGTGGCTGGCTTCTCTAGTAGGCACGTTTGATTGCAGGGGAGGAGGGGATCCAAATGCCTTCCCTGACCAGCAGGCACCAGGAGAATAGCACACTGTGCCCTCAGCCCCCCAAGGACCTTCTGTCACCAGAAAGAGCTCTTCTTGGGTGACACAGCCCACTGCAGGATAAGCCAGGGTGGTATTTTTATCTGCGTTCCAGATCCCTGTAGACCAGCCTCGAACTCATGAGCACCACCACCGCCCAGCTCCGCTAACCCAGCGCGGGGCGTCTCCGCTCGTGGCCAGGGTGGGGAAGGGCCAGGTGAGCGACTGCTCATCTGAGACCCTCACCTTCCTCAGTGGTTGCGGAGGGGCTGAGATGCACTGAGCCGTCGCTCTCCATGCGCCGCCGCTCAGCTTTCCAGCCTAGCGAGACGCAGGCGCGGGAGGACGCAGGGGCGGCGAGCTCAGCTCGCGCCGGCAGGACGACGAGCATGCGCATTGGCCGCCGGCGGCCCTCAGGCCCCACCCCATTCCCGACGGAGCCCCGCCTCCTGGTCGCCGCGCGTGCGCAGCCGTGCTTTCCCGGTGGGTCCCTGGGGCGCGGCAGATTCGCAATTGCAGGCGGCCTCTCGCTCGCTCGCTGCGCTGCCCGCCTGCTTCCCGTGCACGTTACCGCCGGGGCGAGGGGAGCGGCTCCCGGGACAGTCGAGCCGCCACCGAGCGGCTCCACAAGCGGGCGAGCATGTCGGGCGCAGGCGGAGCGCGGCGGCGGCGGCGGCGGCCGGGGAGTACCCGCTGGAGTTCCAGTGCGCGCGCTGCCGCCGGCCGGCCGCTCGGAGACTCGCTCACCTGGGTGACCAGCCAGGAGGACCGCGGCTGCAGCATCCTCTGCTGTCAGTGGGGGCCGCGGTCCCGGGGGGGGGGCGGTCTCCCGGGGTCGCAGGGACGGGGCCCCGAGCAAGCGGGGAGCAGGGGTGGCGTTCCTGGCCGCGGCGCACGAGTCTGCCACCCTGGGGGGCATCGACCCAGCTAAGTGTCTCTTGGCCAGCATCCGGGACCGTGCGGGGACACGGGGACCGGTGAATGAGTCCATGCATGCAATGTGGCCAGACCAGTAAGGCGATCTCCGTACGGGTGATCCACCCAGGCGGCCTCTTGGCAGAGGCTTGGCGTTGCCACCGTTAATTTGGACAGCTTAAGATTGGGTTGAGGTGTTTGTCTGTCTGTTTGTTGTTTTTGAGGCAGGGTTTCTGCGTGTAGCCCTGGGTGGCCTGGAACTCACAGAGATGCGTCTGTCTCGGCCTCCCCAGTGCTGGGACTAAAGGCGTGCGGCTGAGATTATTTTTTTTTTTTTTGATATAGTAAAATAATGGGTTTATTTTGTTTATGGCTTTTAAAGAAATAACATTAAGTCTTGTGCACTCCCCCATGTTTATAGCTTTACTATCTTTTTTTTTTAAATCCTCTTGGGTTTTTATTTATTTATTTATTATTGAGCTATGCATCCCCGCCCTCACTTCTCCCCTCCTACCTTGCCCTCCACACTCCCAATTTGCTCAGGAGACCTTGTCTTTTTCCCTTCGTAGGCCGATCTATGCGTGTCTCTCTTGTCACCTAGGTTCTCTAGGGTTGTGGATTATAGGCTGGTTGTTGTTTGCTTTGTCAAATATCCGTAAATGAGTGAGTGCATACCGTGTTTGTCTTTCTGCGACTGGGTTACCTCACTCAGGATGGTTTCTTCTACTTCCATCCATTTGCCTGTGAATTTCAAGATTCCATCGTTTTTTTTTTTTTTTTTTCCTGAGTAGTACTTCATTGTGTAAATGTACCACATTTCCTCTATCCATTCTTTGGTTGAGGGTCATCTAGGTTGATTCCAGGTTCTGGCTATTACGAATAATGCTGTTATGAACATAATTGAGCAAATGTCCTTATGGTGTGAGTGTGCATCCTTTGAGTTTATGCCCAAAAGTGGTTTTGCTGTGTCTTGAGGTAGATTGATTCCCAATTTTCTGAGGAACCCCCATACTGATTTGCTTTCTGTATGTAATAATACTGTTGTTAGGCTTTAAAATATAACTGGTATAAAACTAGATGAGTTTATTTATCCTCACATTAGTAACCCTCAGTAATTCACTGGGATCACCCCTTTGCACCCATTCAACAATGCAGGAGGGTGTAAATGTGTTTTTTAAAAGATTAATTTTTAGGTTTAGCAATGGTGGCCCACGCCTTAGATCCCAGCACTTGGGAGGCAGAGGCAGTCGGATCTCAATTAGTTGGAGGCCAGCCTGGTCTACAAATTGAGTTCCAGAACAGCCAGGGCTACACAGAGAAACCATGTCTTAACTCCCCCCCGCCCAGATTAATTTTTAGAATAATTCTGTTGTTAATAATAATTAACTTTCAGATTAATTTCTATTCCCTCTTGCCCCATTGGAATGTTTTATTTAGCTTTATTCCCGTTATGACATTTACAAATTCAGGTTTTTTTTCTGTTTTGAAATGGGGAACTTGCTGTTTGCTAGGATAGCTTTGAACTAATGATTCTACCTCAGCTTTCTAAGTAGTGAGCATTACAGGTGTGTACCCTCAACCTTAGATTTTATTTTATAGCAACAACATGGTGATTTAACTTATTTACTATATTTATAAACTCATTTCTCAACCCCAGCAGTTTTATTAACACACTAAAAACATAGTGGCTGGATAGATGATTCAGGCAGGGGTCGAGAGCAGTTGCAGAGGACCAGGGTTCAGTTCTCAGCACTGGTGGGCTGGTTTGCAACTGCTGCTAACTCCAATTGCAGGGGAACTGATGCCATGATGCATGCAGGCAAAACACTCAAACAAACTCATTAAAATGAAAAAAGTGCAATCTATTTAATCATCACCGTTCCTTTCCAGTCCCTAAGGAAATGTTAAGTCTGGGTGCTGAAGATCCCTTTTTACATGTAGATGTTAACTTGGGTCCTGTACCCACCCCTCCCCTGGGGGAATCCAAAGGGTCTCAGGCTTGTGTTACCAAAGTGTAGACTAAAGACCAGCTGTAGGAAGGGACCAGGAAGTAAAGGGACTTACAGATTGACTGTTAAGAGGGGGAAGCCATCGGAACCTGGGTCGGCTCTTCTGGAATAAGCAAGTAGCAGCTGTCCCGGAGAGGTGGTGCTGATGTTTCAGGCCTGAGTAAGGAGCTCGCTTGGCATGATACCCAGAGCTGTAAAAATCAAGATGAGCAGAGAGTACATCTCACCTTCTCATCTAATGTGCGCGTGGGGATTACTAAGGCACGCTGTGAAGGGGGTGAAATGGAGAGGTTGCCTTGACCATTTTACTAAGTGACGGGGCTTCTTTATTTCCCTCTGGGAATGTTTTGTACTGCTTCTCTGGTGCAGCCTCCAGGTGCCCAAGCGAAAGATGCCTGGTGGCTGGGGACTGTTACTTTTAGAGAGAGGAGCTCTGTGTTGGATCTGGGGGTACAGGGATGACCATGTCCCTTGGCCTGGGCTCCGATTTCACTCTACCTGATAGTTGTTCTTTATAGTTTGTAGCTTTTGATTCTCACAGTCCCTGATAATTGTCTTCATTTTATTAATACTGTCAGTTTTCAGAGAAGGATGGTGAAGGCCCCTGCACCTTTAGTGTTGAATCGTTCCTCTGAGTTCTGAAATAAAAGTTAAAGTCGAGTCAAATGATGTGTGTCTTCAGGTGCACTGCAGCAAACCACACTCAAAAGCGCTGCTGCTCTCTTGCAGGTGTTTTCCTGCAATGTGTGTGTCTGCGGATAGAGAACAGAAGCTGTCCAAGTGCAAAGATGAAGATGGGCGGTAAGTGAGCTGTTTCTGTGATTTCATACCAGGGAAAACATTGAATTTTGAGAAGTCTTCCACCACTTCGTGAGATTGCTTGTGATATAACTTTTCAAGGGGACTGAACACATATAAAAAGTAAAAATCCATCATACAGTGGGGATAGCCCCTTTAGATAGGAGCGTGGACTTTTCTAAGTTTCTGAAGGTGTAGCTACCACAGACTTTAGGGCCTTAGGTTTGATGCTGAAGAAAGTGGAACGTAACATAGAACACATCTGTCTTAAAATCTCACAGTCTGAGGTGCTCTTGCCAGTGCTGCTGGCCTTTGCCGTGTCCTGGCACAGACAGGACACACTGACACAGAATCCCCATCCACCGCCGACTGGGTACTGGGTACTGGGTACGGACGGGCCATCTGCCATAAACAACAGTCCCAGTCCCAGACGGCAGGCCTAGGTGGGTGTGTGTCTCTTCTGGTCCTCTCCCTTTCCTCATCAGTCCACCAGGGTTCACTCATGGGGCTCCTCCGTGATGGCCTGTCCAGTCTCAGTCACCGTCATGAGACACCAGTTCTGAAGGCTGTGCACCGGGAAGACAGACCACGTTCTAACAATACCAACATGAGAGAGAGCTCTTGTACGGTGTGGTGGTGGATACAGGTTATCCGTTTATCAGTATATCCTAGGAGTTCAAATCTCAGGTTTTTCTAAATCCTCCTTCTTGATTAACAATCTTGATAACGTGTTGTAGCCTCATGATTATTATGCAGTTTGATATATATATATGTATGTATGTATATATATATATATATATAGTTTTATATATATATATATATATATATATATATATATATATATATATATAGTGTGTGTAGATTTGCCTGTTCACTGTTAGTAGTGTAGGTGGGGTTTTCTACTTGGGATCTACTAAGATGTTTTATTTTTCTTTAAAAATTTATTGTTTTCTGTGCGTACATGTTTTGCCTGCATGTATCTGTGTGCACCACATGTGTGCCTGGTGCCCACAAAAGTCAGAAGAGGGTGTCAGAGCCCCTGAAACTACTGTGTGGGTGCCAGAAAACAAGCCTGGCTCTCTGGAAGAGTAGCAAGTGCCCTTACTCACTGCACCATTCAGCTTCTTAAAAAAGAAAAGGCTTTTATTGTATTATTATTTTGTGTGTGTGTGTGTGTGAGTGTGAGTGTGAATGCAGTGCAGCAGAGGCCACAAGAGGGCTTTGGATCCCGTACTGATTTTTTATGCCAACTTGACACAAGCTAAAATCAACCAAGAGGAGGGACCCTGAATTACGAAAATGCCTCCCCAGGGGGTGGTGGTAGTATCGTACACTTTTATTCCCAGCACTTGGGAGGCAGAGGCAGGCAGATTCCCTCTGAGTTAGAAGCCAGCCTGCTCTACAGAGCAAATTCTAGAACAGCCAGGGCTACACTTTAAGAAAAGCAGCTCTCGAGAGAAAGACGCCTCGTGACAGGGTTCAAGCAGAGGATTTGTTGTTGTTGTTGTTTTGTTTGTTGTTTGTTTTAATTAGGGAAAGAGATCATGAAAAAGTTAAAGGGGAGTGGGAAGGAAGGAGCAGCAGGGGAGAGGGGGGGAGAGAGAGATGGGGGAGGGGAGAGAGGGAGGGAGGAGGGGGAGGGGAGAGAGAAGGAGGAGGGGGGGGGGGGGAGAGGGAGATGGGGGAGGGGGAGAGAGAGGGAGGGAGGAGGGGGAGAGGGAGGAAGGGGAGGGGGAGAGAGAAGGAGGAGGGGGGAGAGAGAGAGGGAGAGAGGGAGGAGGGGGAAAGAGGGAGGGAGGGGGGGAGAGAGGATGGGAGGAGGGGGAGGGGGAGGGGAGAGAGAAGGAAGAGGGGGGAGAGAGAGAGGGAGGGGGAGAGAGAGAGGGAGGAGGGGGGAGAGAGGAGGAGGGGGGAGGGGGGAGAGGGAGGAGAGAGGGATGGGAGAGGGGGAAGAGGAGGGAGGAGGGGGAGAGAGGATGGGAGGCGGGCGGGGCCCTTTTACAAGGGAGCACAGTGAGTGTGCACGGTGGTGCTCTCAGTGGCTGCAGCTGAGGGCGCGTCCTGTCAGAGCCCCAAGCACAGGCCAGCACAGGTGCCTGAACACTAACGCCTGCCTTGATGACTTCTGAAGCAGTTTCTTCCTCCAGACTGCTGTCTTCTGGAGTTACTACCCTGACTTCCTTCAGGGATGGATAGGGAAGCAGACCAGCAATGCCTCTTCCTCGTCAGGTTGCTTTGGTCACGGGTACAGCAATGGAGGCCCTGACTAAGGCAGCTCCCCGTGAAGTTGGACTTACAGGTAGAATGCACTGCTGTGTGCAAGAGAATTACACCCGCCCACCTCCCCAGCCCCAATGTACACATACTTTTACCTCTTAGGAGAAAATCTAGAAAAAGTAGCAGGTTACCTAGGCAATTATGTCACTAGTGAACGCTCACCGGGTGCTAATCTCTGTTCCCCGTGTTGCTGCCGAGGTTAAGAAGCATCTGAGTGTCCAGGAGGATGGCAGTGCCACCTGCCTTGCTGTGCCTGACGCTTAGGTGACCTGCTTGGGTAGGACAGTGAGAAGATACTTAGGACAGGCCCAGAGAGAAGCAGGAGTTAACATACTTTTGAAATAGTAATCCTTTGTGGTGTGTATTTAAGATCTGTGAGCCCGGTAATGGGGGTGGGGCTGTAATTGTCTTGGCGCATTAGACGCACTAATCTTAATCTGGCAAGGCTTCTGGGAGACGTTGGGTTGCAAGAACATTTTAAAGATGTGAATGGGCAGGGGTGGAACAGGAGCCGAGAAGACTGGGAGGAAGTTATGTGAAGATAATGGAAAATTGAGTGAGACCATGTGAGTCGCCTGTATTGGGCAAATCTCTAGTCGACAGTAAAGCGTTTGCGTCAAAATATGATGTAAGGGACAAGACAGTTGTAGCAGGGGCAGTGAATTCCTGTCTGTGACGAATTTAACTAGCTGGGTGGAGGGAGGGAAAGGCATGGGCCCCAAAGGAGACTTATTTGCCGAGGGACAGAGGGCAGGGAGTAAGAGATAAACCCAGGAGATAGAGGATGAGGACGACCAGGAAGGAAGGGATCGTGGAAAGTGGGAAGGGGTATTTGTCCTGGCTGTGGTGGTCAGGGGGAGGACAACAAAGGACCGCCCCTGGATTGAGAGGCGACAGATGCGCCACATGGGAAAATAAATGGCAGTCTCTAGTACAAGGGGAGCCCCCTTAGGGAGGCGTTTACTTTTATATTTATTTATCTTGTGCATTGGTGTTTGCCAGCCTGTCTGTGTGAACCTGTCAGATCCTCTGGAACTGGAGTTACAGACAGTTGTGAGCTGCCATGTGGGTGCTGGGAATCGAACCTGGAACCTCTGAAAGGGAGGGCAACAAGAGCTCTATACTGCCGAGCCATCTCTCCAGCCCCTGAGGTGTTTCCTTTTAATTGGGCATGTTAGTTAGTTAGGTGAGCCTAAGGGACCCTTGATTGCTGGACTTATGGCTGACCTTGGTAGTCAGTCTCAGGGGAGGAAGTGGCCAAGTAAGGGTATAGAGCTTGGTGGGGAGCCTCACGAATGCAGTCTGATGTTTTTAGCAAGGCAGAGGGAATGGGGTGGGGGAGGGCAAAGCCTGCCAGAGCCACGCCTGCCACACTGGCGCTGGCCAGAGTCCCTGCACTGGCTGTGGTGACACACACCTATAGCCCCAGCACTGGAAGATCAGGAGTGTAAGACTTAGCATAGAGGCATAGCAAGAGTGAGCTAGCCTGGGGTCCGTGAGAGCCTGTGTCAAGAGGGAAACCCTAAAGGTGTATTGAGCATGAGGCAGAGCAGCTCGTGGGCGGGAACTGCTTTCCGGACTAGGGTAGTTGAGGGTGCGTGGGCAGCTCAGCCTGATCTTTGCAGCTGCCTTTTCTTTTACGTCCCAGTCAGAAGACATTATTTGCAGCCAATCTTTCCACAAACTTTCTCCCAAGGTCTGCAAACTACTTGCCCCCCACTGGAGCAGAGTTGCAGCTGGTGTGGGGGCTGGGCATGTGTTTGTGTCTTGGTTTTTCAAGACAGGGTTCCTCTGTGTAGCCCTGGCTGTCCTGGAGCTCACTCTGTAGACCAGGCTGGCCTCGAACTCACAGAGCTCCGCCTGGCCCTGCTTTTGAATGCTGGGTTAAAGGTGTGTGCCACCACTCCTCGACTGTCGTGTGGCTGTGTTTAGAGGAGCAGATCGTTGGGTTCTGTGTGTCTGACTGCTACAGTACAGACTTGGTGCTTACAGCAGACCCCGGTGGCCTGAAAGCCTGCAGTACTCAGTCTCTGTTTGATTACAGGGAAACTGCCTACCTTCCTACCTAGAGAGTTAGTGACCCTTGGTGACTGGTTGGACATTTTAAAGGATGTGCAGACTCTTTCTGTTGCTTTCCCAGAATTTAAATAGTTTGTCTTAATACCAGATCAAGGAGTCTGGAAAAACCCTGCCTTGGCATTTTGTTTATGTTCCTTGTCTTCTGTTGTCTGAAGTGTTGTGGCGTGGCCTAGAGCTGACTGTTTGCATTCTCCTGAAGTCATCCTACCATCTTATCGTTATTCATACACACGCACGTGCGCGCGGCTGAATGAAGTTGATTGTAGCGGTGCATGCTTGCCACCCCAGCATTTGCCATGGGAAGATGAGGGAGGATAAACGACTGCCAAAAGTTTGAAGTTGGGGTGGGCTACATAGTGATACCCTGTCTCCAGAAAATCCCCCAAAACCACAAAAGGGAACAATAGGAACATAGCTTCTTTTCACCTGAAGCAACTTGGGGCTTATGGAGTTTATTTTCATTTTTATTTATTTAACTCCTCTGTGTGTGTGTGTGTGTGTGTGTGTGTGTGTGTGTGTGTGTGTGTGTGTAGGTCGGGACAACTCTCCTTTCACATATGGGTACTAGGTATCAGTCAGGCTGTCACACTTGTCAGCAAGCACCTTTACCCACTGAGCCGTCTTGCCATCCCTCAGCTTGTGGATTTTAGCAGTCATGCACGTTGCTACTCTCTCCCTAAGTGGTGTTGTGTCTTTATTGCAGCATTCTTGAGACCCTGTCCTGTACAGGCTGCTCCCTCAGACTTGGCTATGTGTACAAATGCACTCCCAACAGCCTAGACTACAAGAGGGACTTGTTCTGACTCAGCGTAGAAGCCATTGAAAGGTAGGTTTGATAGATACGTGGCTACATTGTGACTGATTTCTTAGGTTTGCAGAAGTTGGTATGAGAACAGAACATATAATAATCTCTGACAGTAAAGCCAGTCACCCTTTGTGTCTAATTCATTTGGTATTGGGAAAGTCAGACACTTGAGTTGTAGGAGAAACTGTGAGACATTTTTTAAAAGTAAAACTCAATTGAGTTTTTTGTTTATTTTTTGTTTTTTGGTTTTGGGTTTTTGAGACAAGGTTTCTTTATGTAGCTCCGACTCCCCTAGAACTCCCTCTGTATACCAGGGTGGACTGGAACTCAGAGACCAGGCTGGCCTGGAACTCAGAGACCCGCCTGCCTCTGCCTCCTGAGTGCTGGGATCAAAGGCGAGCCCCACCACCATTCGCCTTAATATCTTAAATTTTTACCCTTAAAAAATTTAAAACAGTAATTTTATCCAGTTACTAATTGATAACTTTGTATTTGGCATCTTTTAAAACCAGGCAGGTTTAAAAAAATGTTTAAGATCCACAAACCAACTCACATGGAAAACTCACTAAGCAGGCAATGCTCCACGTTACAGAGCAGAGGGCCAGGTTCCAGACACGGGAGACGCCCACCAGCGGCAGTGACAATGAACAGAGGTGCGTGTTTAGTGAAGAGGGGTACGTCACCGAGTGTGGTGACCCGCCTACAACCTCAGCGCCACAGAGGCTGGGGGCCCCCGGCGGGGTGGGGTGGGGTGAGGTTCTAGAGTTTAAGGCCAACTGGGTTACCCAGTAATGCTAAAACGGAAGACACAAATCATTTTTATCCAGTAGTGTTGGAACAAACCCCCTCTCTTTTTCTGTTTTGCTTTAGGGTTTTTGAAACAGGGTCTCGTTATGTAACCCTGACTTGCCTGGACCTTGTAGTATAATCCAGGCTAGTCTTGAACTCTTAGAGATCTACCTGCCTGTGCCTGCTGAGAGACATGTGCCACCACAGCCGACTTTCTTTTTAGGGAGGAATGGTTTATTCGGACTTTGAGGATCCAGTCAGTCAAGGGGGGGAAGCTGGACGCAGCTGGCCACACTGTGTCTCAGGAGACAGATGAATTCCCAGCTCACTTTGCTGTTCTCAGATGCTTCTACTTGGAGTCAGGGAGGGTCGTGAGCTGCTCTATGGGGACCGAACTCAGCTCCTATCAGAGCAGCGAGTGTTGGTTCGTAACTACTTAGAATTGTAAGTAGTTAACCCTGAGATTGTCCATCTCTTGATAATTATTGTTACTTATTAAGTCATTACCTATTCAGAGTCACATAAAGCAAGCCTTGGTGTCTTAGGTTGCTCTGCCTGCCGCCTTCTTGCAGCAGTGAAATATTTATGACAGAAAGTGAATGTGTAGGGTTACCCGGGCCGTGCCATTAGTGAGGGGTGAGATTACGTGGTCCAGCGTGCTCAGGTCTCCGCGGACAGAGAACACTGTCTTCATACCTGGGGCGTGGAGTATGACCTCAGAGCTGGCATTGGTAGCTGCTATGGGGTTGGGGCTAGTTCGTGCTCATACGTGAACTCTGACTGTACTGCTTCTCAGTTACACTTTAGGGTCCTCTGAAAAGCAAACCGTGCCAGAAGACAGGAGCTTTTCAATCTGGAGGGCAGGGTTGAGATAGAGAAGTCTATAAAGCAGGTGAGTTTACTCTCCATTTATGTCCCTCCTCACGACCCTGTGATGTCTCGTGTTGCTTTTAGCACTTGGCAGTGAGAAAGTGCTCGCCCTGAATTAGGGAGTGGAGCCGTGAGCTGATGCTCTGAGCCCTGAACACACTCCACACTGAGATCTAAACACTACTCATGCAAACCAGAAATGTAGCCTTGAGCAAAGCAATACTGAAATGTGTCTGGGGGCCTGTGTGCTTGGCCTGAGTGTGTGCATGTGCACCATGTGCTTGGCCTGTATGCATTCACATTCACTGTATGCTTGACCTGCGTGTGTGCATGTGCCCCGTGTGCTTGGCCTGAGTGTGTGCATGTGCACCGTGTGCTTGGCCTGCATGCTTGCATGTGCCCCGTGTGCTTGGCCTGCTTGCATTCACCTGCACTGTGTGCTTGGCCTGCGTGTGTGTGCGTGTGTGCTGTGTCCTTGCCTGGTGCCTGTGGAAGTTGGGAAAGGCTGTCGGATCCTAGGTCAGGTCTCAGGGTTGACCCAAGGTGTTCAGGCTCAGCGGTGGCAGCTGCCTTTGCCTGATATTTGTCTCATTGCTGAATATGAATGTTTCTTGAGATGGACAGGATGGTGAATTCCTGTGTGGCTGTAGATTGTGGGTTGGGTTGTGACTAAAGCTAATAAGATTATATCTTATTCAATTTAGATTCGCTTCTCTACAGAGTTTTGTTAGGCCTAACATCTTCATGTCATGCAAAACATTGAAAATGGCATGAATTATTTTAATCGCTAACCTATGAGTAATTAATCGTGCGCACATTGTGTTCTTGGTGCCTTTTCCGCTGGGTAGATGGAAGATGTCCTGAAAGCCTTGGAGATGAAGCTGTGGGAGGTGGAGTCCAAGCTGCCCTTTGCTGGCCACTGCAGCTGAGCTGCTCCACCCTGCCCCACCCTTGCTGCCAATGTGTGTGTGTATTTCAGGGGAAAGGTCACTCACTGTTTCTTGTATTTGGATCTTAAAGCCAGTTTATGATACATGCTGGAATGGAATTTTGTGAGTTCTTATTTTCATAAAAAAACCACGGTGGTTTTTATGTCTTTTTTTCCTGTTAAATTCATTGTATTTGTTCATTTTTCTATTTTGTAAAATTTTGTCACTTTTAATACTTTGTATAAGCGGGCAGTGGTGGTGCACACCTTTAATCCCAGCACTCTGGGAGGCAGAGGCAGGTGGATTTCTGTGAGTTGGAGGCCAGCCTGTTCTGCAGAACTACACAGAGAAGCATTGTCTCAAAAAAAACAAAAAACAAAACAAAACAAAACAAAAAAATACTTTGAATATTTATGAATGAATAGTAAGGAAATCATCTTGGGTAAGATTTTAGTGGAATGTATTAGGTTGGGACTTTTTATAATGTAAAACTTCTATAAGGAACATGCATTATTTTTATAATAAGAAAGAATAAAGACTTTAAAAAGTGCTTGAAGGTTCATTTGTTTGCTTACAAACTAAATTGATATTTAAGTGAGATAAAAACGATTCTGGGGCCCTGAAATCCACACACTCACTGAGCATGCACTGTGCTCTGCTCGGCCCAGAGCCCTTTCTAGGCACAGATGATGCTTGTCACGGGACCCTGTGGGACTCACTCACTCAGTCCCTGGTCAGTTGTTCCTGAAGCGTTCTGAGAACGCTAGCGTTACAGCAAGTGAACTGCAGGTATGCCCCTAGTGACTGAAAGGCGTTGGGGTGCATTTCAGAGCCTACTGTGATAGATGTATGAGCTCCACCTTCAGTGATTTTATTTGTCAAACAGAAGATGGGCCACGGAAGCGCCTGTGGTGTGCAGGAGCTGATGTCTGAAATGTTCAGAAATATCTGAGCTGCTGGCTAAACCACCAGCAGCTTGAAGTTGGGCAGGGAGGGGGTTGTGAGTATTACACCAGAGAAATTGACAGGTACTGAAAAAAATCAGGGTTCCCTCTTCCTTCTGAGCCGCTTTCCTAACAATGTAGTCCATTTCCGTCTGGCTCCATCCCATCTAACTCAGCATCGAGAAGAAAATACTTCAACATCAAGAACCATTCTTAACATCTCATTTGTTAAGTGAAAAAAAAAAAGAGTCTTAACAACCACAGGATGATAGCTGCATTCTTCATTTTGCCAGAGAAAAAGCAAAAGACTTGAAAGCAAGTGACTTGGAATCTTACATAGTTGCTGTCATATACATCGTTTTTACTCTCCCTGAATAAGAAAACTGGGCAGCATCTGTAAACAGGCAGAAGAAGTGCTTGTCATCACTGCTGGACTGGGGCAAAGGAGTAATTTACCCTTCATCTAACCACACGTGTGGGTCCTCAGTCTTCCGAGTGGTGCCCTTTCCCATGTGTGCGTGCTTGTTCGAATGTGTGTGTGTGTGTGTGTGTGTGTGTGTGTGTGTATGTGTGTGTAGGCTGGAGGTGGTGTCAGGTGTCTTCTGTCTTCCTCTACCTTATTTTTTGAGACAGGGTCTTAACCTGGAGCTTGATAATTTGGCAGGACTGGCTGTCAGTGAGCCCCAGGGAACCCTCCATCTGCTCTGGGGTCACAGGTGTGCACTGCTGGGCCAGCTGTGTGTGTGTGTGCGCGTGCGTGCGTGCGTGCGTGGGTGTGGGTGTGTAGATAAATCAGAGGACAGCTTTCAGGAATTGGTGAGTTCCTTCTACCGTGTGGGCTCTGACAATCCTACTTAGGTCTTGAGGCTTGGAGGCAAGTGTCGTTACTAATTGCGCACCTTCTCAGCTCTGCCAGCCAGTTGGTGTAGCCCGGTGCTGCTGTGCATCTGGCTGGCTGAGCTTTTGTTCATAGGTGTGTTGTGTCTCAGTTGCCCCCTTTGAGGCCCTGCAGCATCCTCTAAGTGACTGCCGATTGCCCGGCAGTGGTGGTCGTCATTCCTCAGTTAATCACGGGCTTCACTGCCTTGATAATGTTCTAGACTTGGGGGAACTGTCCCTTCTACACTTAAGAGCCTGCAGCCTCTTCTGAGAACTGGAAGTGTCAGACCTTGGACACTGAATGGAGGTAATTAATAATGATTTTTTTTTAAATGAACAGGACTGTTTTTATCCTGTGTATTTGTTCATCAGTTACAGGGATAAGTGGTACCACCTGCAAAAGCTAAGCCTAGAAAAACGGTTGTCTCGGTTCCCCTTCATATTTTAGGGTTAACGTAGAAGAATAAAGAGAAACGATAGCATAGCGTAGGGCTTAGCATAAAATGTTAACTGTGAGTATGAATTCAGGGGGAAATTACCAGGCTCATTTACATGTCTAATTGCCCACCTGTGATCACTCTGCTGTTGAGTCTATTCAGGCTCCCACACAAGTTAAAAATACTTCCTATTAAAATTTGTTTTTTTTCTAAGTGAATACAATGAATTCTTAGAATTGGAGGTGAAAATATGAATATTTGAAACAGGACTCTGGTCACAGTGGGTGCTCTCTCTGTGTGCCAAGTGTGAGCGAGAAGCCCAGCAGACAGGCCTCCCTCGGCTAGCGATTTGCAGGTGTGCAAATCTCAAGAGGCAATGCAGATGTAAATAGGCCAGAGCGTCCTACGGCTCCCAGTGGCAGGAGAGTCAGCTACAGCTTTGTTCATGTAGCGCCCACAGGGCACAGACACCCAGCCTGAAATGTTGCCCCACTGATAGGAAGGCTCCCGAGTTAGGGGGTGGACTCTGCTCCCCTACAAGGATGCCCTTCCCCGGAGAAGGACGATCTCAGGTCTCAGGTTTGCAGGAGGAAGTGGTCCCAGGGTCTCAGCATTGTCAAGGAATTGTATCACCCCACAACCTTGCCTGGGCTGGGAGGGCAGGAGCCTAAGGGGAACGCCATCCTGGGGCATACAATCCCCAGAGTGAAGATCTGTGCAGGGGCGTCCCGCATGGCAGGGGCCTCCCTCAGTCCTGGAGCAGCTCAGGGTGGACACCTCCATCGCAGAGGCTTCAGAGACCAGGACTCCAGGCCTTCCCTGCAATTCATGACGGGAACGTGTGCTTCCTGAGACCCTGATGGCCCTCATGTCGGTCACCAATGTGCCAAGTGAGCTGGGGCCCCGCATCGTCCACTTTCTCTTCCGTGTACAGTAGATTAGTGTCCCTTAGGCGGAACTAGATTTATTTTTCTTCCTGAATCAGACCACAAGGGGCCGCATTTCACCACATAAATATTCACTATGTCTGGCTACTCACTAGCACCTCATCTGGGACAAACTGAGTGGCTGCTGGACCCCTTCCAACCAACCTGGCGAATCAGAAGCTTGTCAGGTAAATAGCGCAGCCAGGGTTCCCCCAGCCCCTTCAAACCCCACCCAACCCCCAATCAGATTACTAACAGTTTTTCATCTCGTCCCTAAAATGGTTTCCTCCTCCGTTCCCGAAAGCAGTCTCCCTGAGACTCAGATCGCACCAGGGAAGTTAATTAAGGGCTCTCTTGAGCTTGCTTCCTATGTTGCCATGACTCAGGTTCATCGCTAACCCCCTTCCCGAAGGATGACTCCCTCATACTGGTGTCTGCCAGCTCCGTTTGGAATTGCCAACTGAGGGGTGTTGGGCTAATCACCCCACCAAAATGCCTGACTCACAAGGGACTTCTCAAGAGTTCTCTGCATTTCTTTCTGCGTCCCTAGTTTCTCTGGAAGGCCTAGGGACCACGGCACCCAAAGCACCTCCAGTGCATCTGCTTTCCAAACTGTAAGCAGATGAAGGCGGTTGGAGTCGGCCCCCTCTCTCTCCAGCTTCCATAGCCGTGAATTCAAAGAAGCACAGAGCAGAGAGATGGGAGGCGCTGGGGAGACGGCTCAGCTGATTAAGTGTTTGCCTTGCAAGCATGAGGATCTGAGTTCAATCCCTGGGACCCACATCAAGAGCTGGCAAGTGCCTGTGATCGTAGCACTGGGGGTTAGTGACAAGAGGGTCTCTAGGACTCAATGGGCAACAAATGTCGCCTAATCGGTGAGCCTCGGGGTGCCAGTGCCACCCACTCTTAACAAAAGCAAAGAAGATGACTTTCCAGGAATAACACCCAAGGTTGAACTCTGGCCTTCACAGGTGCCTGTGCCTGTGCATTTGTATACACACACACACACACACACACTGTCCACTTCGTACAAATACTTGAAAAAGTTTCATCTGTACTGAATATCTCTAGATTCCTTTTCATTGTGAGCTCCTAAATAACAGCATATAACATTATTTACATTGCATTAGGAATCAAAAGTAACTGAGAAGTGGTTTAAAATGTGGGAAAGATGTGCCTCGGTCATGTGCAAAATGGAATGCCATTTTGTAGCAGGGACTCCTGTGGGTTCTCAGGAAGGACTGTGTTTTATGTTTCCGTTTCCTGAGACACAGATTTGCATTCATGTATTTAAATTACGCTGAAGGTAACAGCAGATGCCAAGGTCGTTCTATGAGGTCCAGCCAGACGGAAGGCCCCGGAGCTTTGTAGTCTGGGTCCTGTCATGCAGTAACAGATGGTGCAGTTCATACCCTTGGCCTCCTGTTTCCCGGCCTCCATGTCCTCAACTGTGTAATGAGGAATTGGGTTAACATAACCTGTAAAGTTCCCTTTCAAATTCATTTAAAAAAAATAGAAAAATGTTATGTTAATTTTTTGTTATGTTTATTTTCTGTGTGGGGGTGCATGCTACAGCGTATGTATGGCGGTCAGAGGACACAGCTTGCAGGGGTCATTTTTCTCCATGTGGGTCCCAGGGTCAGCCTTGTCGGCAAGCACCTGTATCCCTTGCCACGTGCCCGGCCTCTGCTGTATTTGTTTTAATTAAGCAAAGGTTTGAGGGCTACTAGTCTGAAAGCCTAGACTCTGAAATGCAAAGCTTTCTGCATGCCGACATAACCCATGCAGAGGAAACTTCACAGCAGTCTCAGGTGATGGGCCACAGCGAAGCCTGCACCGAGCTGAAATTACTGTGTGGAGTCACCCCCCCCCACACACACACACTCTACATATTCGTATGGGAACTGTTGGTCTTCTGTTCCGTCTCTGCGCCCATCCCCCGGCTTCTCGTTTTATTATGCAAACATTTCAAAACCTAAACATATTTGAAATGTCGAATAGTCCTTTCTCCAAGCATCTCAGGTAAGGGACTCTCAAGTGATAGCGACTTGAGATGGGAACTGTGCCTGGGCAGGTAGAGGTCCCCGGCAGCACCTGAGCCCTGGTGGGCCTCGATCATACCCTGCAATTAGGACAGGAGACCAGCAAATAGGGTTGGAATAGAAGTGCCGCCCACGCCTCGGCTGCTGCCACGTGGTGGTTGTAGCTGGCTGGCAGGTGGCAGGTCTTGAAGGTATTTTTGAATCCGCCCATAGAAATCTGAATAGAAATCAAACACGGGCGCGTGCGTGCTTTGTTTCACGCCATGTTGGTCCCCGACGTCCCATCCGCCACGGTGG